AAATACGTAAAAATGTAATCTTCGTATTATTTCATTCATGTTTTGCAGGACACAGTAATAAAAATAATATAAAACTATAACCGAATAAAATTGAATGTAAAATCAAGTGCTAGATTATTGATTAATTTATAATTATTGCATTGTGCTTATTTTTTCAGTAATATAAATATTTAAAAAAAACAATTAAATCGTGAATTATCTGATAAATACTTTCAATTTAATCATATTTTAAATTCAGAAAAATTTATACATAACTTTTTTTAAAGCAAATACAACATTAAAAAATCTCAAATTATTACAGTTTTAAATGGAATTAAAAATCACACAGGTGCGAATTTACCTGTCAAATTCTTCTTTATTCTTTTCGGCTCAATTTTCACATTCTTCTGGGTGATGCCCACTAGAATACAACTACTTCTTTCCCTTTTTTAAATTAATATGCCGTATCTTGAAATCCACATTTTATTTTCCTCATTCTTTGTTTACTAATTAATAAATTAATAATATTCATAGTTTGATTGTCTTCATAATACTACATATATATCGATTTTAATTTTGAGTTAACTACTTTAAATTATTATTGTGGCCACTTCTCGTATCAGTTTTTGGTTTTCTTGTCACATCCGGTAGTATGTCAATTCAATAATTGAAAATTAAATTCAATAATTGAAAAGTTGGCCGTTAGTTTGGACATAGCGAAGGCTTTCTATCGGGTCTGTCACAAAGCGTTTCTTTCAAAGCTTCCTCCTTTGCGCCTCCCTTTGCGTTTTCTATCGCATCTACCACGAAGAGTGTTGTGATGAATTGTTCAGATTAGTTCCACCCACCAAATTTTACGAATGCAGAATGCACCAAATTTCACGATATCATCCTTACAATCTGGATGCTTGGCGTTCCACCATTCCAGACTTACGGAGATCAGAATGTACGTGATTCCAAAGGAAGAAGAACTAGTTTCTCGTCGCAATTCTGCCGACGTGCTCTGACTTTGACACTGACCTGAAGGCGGAATTATACTTCTTTTAAGGAACGCTGGTATTTGCATTGCATTATTGCATCCCGAGAAATCGGTGCGTGAGCCCAGGCCTAGTAACACTCTTGCTTATGGCGTAATGCAATTTTGCAGGAGTGACCAAACCATGGCAGGGTTCTGCCTCAGATAGTTAATACCGATAATGGAATAAAAGTTCCATTCGCTGTAGAACCACATCAGCGACAGAATCAGCAACAACGCTGGGATCATCAGGAGAGAAGATATACCGCCTCCAAGAGTAGGATGCAAAATAGATTACATCCCGTCCTAATCGCTTGACCTATAATGCCGGACACAGCGGCAACCTATAGAACGCAACCGCAACGGGAGCGTGAGGGGCACAGTACTCCGGGTCAGACAATGATCCGAAAAGTCAAGAAGGGCATCGACGGAGACCTGATATCCGTCCGAATAAGAGGTCAGCAGAAGATGCAACAGGGAAGGTAACAGAGGTCTTCCACATCTGGAATCCACTTAGGCGAGGTACCCATTTGTGTCAGATCATATGCCAAAGCAAAGTCATAAACAGATCTACCCGCATGATAGTTAAAACAAGAACCAAGCCATTCATCGAAGTGGGTGTTGAAATCACTAAGCATCACGATCTCTCCAGATGAGACCTATTGAAACATGAAGCTTGCAGCCATTTCGCACACAATTATTTTTAATAAACTTAATAGGTAGTTATATATTTTTGGTTTGCTTGTTGACAATCTTCATAAAATAATGTCACTCTAACATTATGACGTAGGTCTTAACGTTATTAATAATTTTACTATCACAAAGTATACTTAATCAATTTATATATATATATATATATATATATATATATATATATATATATATATATATATATATATATATATAAATAAATTGATATTACATGAAAAACATATTACTTGGCCGTAAGATAAAGATGCGACTCGAGTAAAATTTTGTGACTCGAGCCACTCGGGTTAATTTATGTATGTATGCATGTCATTCTAGTTGTACACCAGTTTTCGAGTAAATCGACTATTTACAAACCTTGCATCGATTAAAGTTTATCACTAGAGTTGAGAGTAGCGATTACTTTAGTGAAACCATTTTTAAATATGTACCTTTATTAAATAAGTAATATGTGGCAATATGAAATGAAATGAAAATATTAAATATTTATTTATTTGTGTTATTTGTATGTTCTTTTTCATCATTGTAGTATTTTGAAATCTATAAACTAGTTTTTACATATCTTACAAACCACTCTCGTCACGATTTTTTTTCCGAAATTGTGCGACACTGACGGTTTTTGTTTGGTTGTTTCATAATTATCACTGATAATTTAAACAAACAAGTATAATATGTTAATCACCTTTTACGTTATGCATTACTTACACGAAGTAACAAATAAATAATTAACAATGATAGTACAACCACGATATTATAAATCAAACTAAGTTCACGTTTGTTTACAACATGCCAGATGCAAGTTTGAATTTGAGTGCAACCTGTGATGTCACCCGCAGCGAATTATACCACAAGTAAATATGTAAACTAATATGTATCTAGCGTTCTCTGAATCTATACGATACGCCAAATCGATTCGGTAACTCGATAAAATTTTTTTCTTAATACGAGTGAAAATATCACTGGACTTATTCAGCCGATTCACTCGAGTGAAATAAAACAAGGTTCGAGTCGCATCACTATGGTAAGAACAAAATATAGTCTGTGGCTGTGGTTATATATTTTTGATGGTCGCACAATTAAGAATTAAGTATGTACATTTTTTATTCTTAAAAAAAGAGCTTTGTCGCTGAAGCGATTATGACGCCCTGGTACAAGAAAATTCTTAAATAGGATAAATGCTAACAACTATATAAACTTATTAATTACTTAATCTCTTATTTACTAACACATAAAGCTTTTTGGCATCTTCTGATAACGAGTCTGATAAAATAATATTAATACTGCCAATCAATGATAAATGTATATTACAATTTTTTCTTTCTCCAGAGTTCTGGACACATTCTATCAATATGTGATAAACATCATCGATAATGTTGCAAGTTGAACAGTTTGGTGAGGTAGTTTTTCGCATCAAGTACGAAAATTTATTGCATGGAATGTGCCCAGATCTGAGTCTTAATGCTATTACTGTGTCGCGTCTACATAATATTCGGTTATCTATCCAGGTTGAGCGCATTGGGTACGGCTGGATCGTACGGTACCATATACCCTTCTCTTTTGCTCTTATGTCATAACAATTTTTTTTAATAACGGTATATAGTTTTGAAATGAAGGGATAATATTAATATCAGTGCCTTCCGAAATAGCTTGTTTGGCCAAAATGTCAGCTTTTTCATTACCCTCTAAGTCAATGTGCGAAGGTATCCATTGTAAATGTACTATTATGAAGTCAGCCTGCAACTTAACTAGAAGCTTCAAAATCGCATATGCTACTGGTAAGCCTCGAAAAACCGAAGTACACCGAGCAAGGTATTGAAGCGCACTCCTCGAATCTGTTAAAATAACCACATTGTTATAGTTGCATGATTGTATATAGGATAAAGCTTCATAGATCGCTACAAGTTCAACTTCCATAATAGAAATATTAGTATTAATTTTTAACTTTATTGCCATATCATTTAATATATCGTAAAATGAAGCCCCGTTTCCGAAAGTATCTTTCGAATTATCTGTAAATATCTTCAGATAATTCGGGTAATGTTCGTTTAGGTAATTAATACACATGGTTTTTATGGTCAATACATGGTACTGATGTTTAGGGTTTAGAACTCCGTCTATATTTGGTCTTAAAATATCTGAAAGGTTTAAACTAGTGATCCACTGATCCAGAGAAAACATACCTAACTGTGAGCTTGAGTATATAAAAAGTGATTTGAAGTTGTCATGCATTATTTTAAATAATGGTTTTTTCTTATTATTCCAATACCTGTTTTGAATGGTATCGGATAGGTTAGAGATAAGATTAATCGAAGAGTTATTTAACACGGATTTATTTTTTAACCAGAATTTGCCTGCAAGGTAGCGTCTTCTTAAATGTAATGGGCATAAGCTGAGATCGTTTTCCATTACGTGAATAGGGGTGCTTTTTATATAACCCCTTATAGTTCTCATTGACTGATTTTGAATCTTTTATAACTTAAATAAATTAGTCTTACTACTGTTATCATACAAAAAGCTCGCATAATCTAACCGACTTCTTATAATACTAATATAGAGGTTCCGTAAATGTTTAGGGTGGACACCCCAGCCAGAACCTGATAAAACTTTAAATACATTTAAAAATTTTAATACTTTTTCAGATATTTCCTTTACATGTTTATTCCACCGCAGTGATCGATCCAGCCACATTCCAAGGTATTTTACGCTATCTACTACTTCCAAAGCAACATCTTTAATTTTTAGACTAATGTTATGTTGTCGACGCCCTTTTGAAAAGGTGCATATTTTACTTTTTAACGGTGAGATATCCAAATTTATAGTTAAAAATAAATCATTTAAAATGTTTAATGTCAATTGCAGTTGATTTTCCGCCTCTGTCAAGTTTTTAGAAGTTATAAATATGACATAATCATCAGTATACTGGGAGATATTAAGATGTGTTTTGGAAATTATAGACTTACGTATATCTATTGTAGCTATGTTAAACAAGAGCGGAGAAAGTGGATCTCCTTGTGCTAGACCGCGACCTGTACTTCTAGTTATTTTATAATCTATCCCTTCAATTATTAAAAATCTTTGACTTAAATAAGTCCAGAGATAGTTGCAAAATTTTGCGCCAACATTAAAACGATCGAGCGTCGATAAAAGATAATTTATGTCTACATTATTATATGCGTTTTCTAGGTCTAAAAAGCATGCTACTGTAAAAAGATTTTTTGTAAAACCTATTTGAATGCTTGTAAATAAATCGGTTAAATTATCGTGACAGGAACGTGATTTTCGGAATCCTTTAGTTTCCTCAGAAAGTAGTTTTTTTGTTTTCAATAGACCACTCTATACGGTTATTGATAATGGCATGAAATACTTTAGATAAGCACGAAATAAGAGAAATAGGTTTAAGAGATGAAGTACAACTAGTGTTCCTGCCCGACTTAGGTATAGGTATAATGCGAACATGTCGCCATTGGTATGGAGCAAAGCTTTGTGTAAAAAATATATTATAAAGATTGAGTAAAACGTTTTGGCCCACTATAGGTAAATTAAGTAACATTGAATAAGAGATATCATCTGCGCCCGGGCACATGTCTTTAGATTTTAAACATTTATAAAGTTCCGATCTAGATATTTCGGTTTCTAATTTAGGATTTTGAGATGTGTAACCTGGGTAGGGTTGATTTACATAGTCAGGGGTTAAGTTGCATAATAATGACTCAGCAATACTTTTTTCAATTTGTGGTTTAACTGATCTATAACCTTTTAACCACTGAATTTTTCTCCACATTTCAGAAGCTGAAGATATTTCATTCAAGGACGTACAAAATTCCCACCATACTTTACTTTTAGCGTTTCTAATTAGTTTTTGAGCCTTGCGAGTTTTTTCCCGCAAACTATTTAAATTAGCCGGTGTGGGATTCTGTCTAAATGTTTTAAGTTCTAGCCGTCTCTCTGCAACAGCGTGAGACAGATCAGGAGTCCAATATGGCTTCGGAATAAAATTAGCCTTGGGATTTCGGCATATTTTAATAAATGGAATACTTGCTTCTGCGGCTTTGAACAAGAAAGTGATAAAATCATCATAGGCTTCTTGTGGGTTACTTGAAATTTCGAAATGAGCGCACTCCTCTTCTATTACCTGACGATACTTCACCCAGTCAGCTTTTTTTAAAGTTTCGTCTTTTATGAATAATAGGAGAATGATTCATAGATGATGAAATCTTAATTATTAGGTGGTCGCTACCTAAAGACTCGTTTGTAACATTCCAATTAAACTTAAAAGCGATATCAGATGATATAAATGTAATTTCGGGAGATGACTGTTGTAAGATACCGCCAACTAATTTTAATCGCGTAGGCCTGCCATCGTTTATAGAAGCAAAATTACGGTCTTCTAATGAGTCCAGAATTTGCGTGCCCCTAGAATCGGTTTTATTCGACCAATTAGGGTGATGTCCATTAAAATCTCCAAGTATTAGAGTCTTTTTATCAGAAAACGAAAATATTGAATCCCAATCACTACATGAAGTTCGAGCATTAGGCGAGCAATATAGAGAAATTATATTTTCAACAATTTCACAATTAGAAATTTTAACGGATATCACATCAATAACCGAGTTGGCACTTCGCAGTGGAAGCAACTGAGCCGAGAGAGATTTGTGTACTATTAAAGCCACTCCGCCATAACAGTCCGCCATATCAAGTCTAAATACGTTATATTCTCTAAAGTTAAGTGTCAGGATTCAACCATGTTTCCGAGAGCGCGGCGATATGAATTTTCTCCTGAAACAAGAGTTGTTCAAATTCCGCACACTTTGATTTAATACTTTGAGCATTCCATTGCAAAATGTTAAGGCTGACTTTACCTATTATTACCGAGTAAATTTTGTAAAAAAGACAAGTTCGAGATATTTTTAAATATCCATGTGATTATCCATTCAAAAAATAAGTGCACTACATTCTCGATTCTACTTTTTAAAGGTTCATTACTCTCATTAGACATAAAACTTTTAAGTTGGCTTAATAAATTAAAGAAAGGAATATTAGATTGTACATTACGATTCTTTTTTTTTGTTTTGTTCAGACACTGGTTGATCACATACACTACTTTCAGACTCTGTCGACATATGGCCGTCATGTATATACTCTTCTAAATTAGGTTCTTGAATTCTCTTCTTAATCTTCTTAGTTGTGTCATTTCGAACAGATTTTTCTCCCCCGACTGTCCAGTTTTTTCTTGTTAATGGGGCTCGATGACACGGCCTGTGCGTAAGTAACTGGTGTAGAATTCTCCTGAACCGGCAAAATAGAGCTAAAAAACTTATTTGTGGTTCCTGGGATAGGTTCCGGCAATTGAGGCATCTTATTTAAATTACCTAAACGGGGCATTGGCGATTGAGTTGGCACATAAGTAGGTGTTTCGGGCGGTACATACATTGCCATAGCCTTCCTGTATGAAACATTAAATTCAGCCATTATTTCCCGTAACTTCTTCTCCTTTATATATTTTGGACACTGACGATTCAATGCCATATGATTTTTCGTACAATTAAGACACTTAAATATTGTTGTTTCGCAATTTGCATGCTTACCTCCACATTTGGGGCAGTATATACGTTTTGAAGGACACATTCTAAGGGTGTGCCCAAAGCGCCAGCATCTCGAACACTGAGTAACAGGAAATAGGTATGGCTCCACCTTAACTTGCATGTCATATGTGCACAGATACGATAGTAACGTAGACCCTATGAAACCAACTCGTACCGATTCACTTTCAGTCCAGCCAGATTCTCCATCCCCCTGCTTTCTGCGTTTGAGTCGTTTCACGTTGGCCACCTCAATTGAGCAAGAAATAGATTCTAACAGTTCTTTTTCTGATAGATCTAATTCGATGTTCTTAATTACACCATAAGAGAGTCCTACTTCAAATGGTCGCTGAAACCTCCAGCCCAATTCCACAAGATGATCACACTGTATCAATAAATCAGCATCTTTTTCTCTATATAGTTCTACAATTATTTTTACTCGCACAGTGTTTAGGTTCTGATTTTTAAATAACTTGGCAAGGGCAAACTGTTTCGGGAACTTCTCTTTAGACGTTATACATATTTCAATACTACCTCTTATTTCTTTGGATTTCTCTTTTCTGCTTTTCACTTCTTCCCAGTCTCCTTCTTGCTCACATCCTCTAGCTTTTTTTTGTTCGATATGAAGGTCCAAAGGTGAAGTATTCCTACCTCTTTTGCCCAATATTTGGATAGATTCGTAGTTTATATGCTCTTCCAAAAGGTCAGACATTTCCTCTAGTATTGGTCCTTCCCCCGCTGACTAAGTAGAAATAAGATCAGCCTCCATTATTGTTCAACTGAACGGCCGGCCCCGCTTGGCCAAGCCGTAAACGCAGGTAAAAAATTCCTAAGCCGATAATAACCGTGCGCGCAACGATACACGTACGAACGGCTCGAGCGCCACTTCGCCACTGAAGTATGTACATGTTTGATTTTTGTTTACAAGACAATAATATTTAAGAGAATATGAATATTATCAATTATCATGAAGTTTAGCCAAATATTAATTTACACATTACGTATGTATTTCTCTTTTTATTTTTTGTGGCAAAATTTGCAAATAAAACTGAAGAATTGAGGTTAATTAATATAAAAGTTTATTAATTTAAACCTAGAATTTGTGAAAATCTATTAAAAAATTTGTTGAATTACCTAAAACAAATGTGAAGCAGGTCATAGAACCTTATGAGTTTGTTAAAAGTGACAAAGTGTTAAGTTTATGTTATTAGTAAAATCTAAATTAAATAATAAATAGAATGAATACACAAAAGAAGTTATTATAATGTTAAAAGCAAATTAGAATCTTTAGGTCGAGGGACTTAAGAAAGCTTCTCTATTTGATACAGCTTCATCGGCTTTGAAGAGCAATTCATTTAACTGCATTGGTGTACAAATAGGTACCTTAAGTATTCAACAAGTTGCTTAATACTAAATGGCTTATTTGTTAAGCCAGTCATGGACTCTGGATTTATACCAGCTATAGTAGATAGGCAATATAAATGGTTCATATATTTATGTGTAAAAAATGTAGTTATTATTTGTACCAGAAGCAAATATAAGGTTTGAATAATAATAGTTTTCATAAAAAAGTGTAATGGTTATATCTATTATGCTTAGACACCTATGTTGTTCACTCTGCAGAAAGGAATATTATCTTGTCATCTAGAATCAGATACTGAATATAACAATAATATCTTTTCGGGTCGGCTTTAGTAATCTGCTGCACGATTTAACTGATTATTTTAGCTTTAGTTGACAGCCAATGATGCTATTGATTACCATCTAGCTGCTTTTTATGCCGGAAATCTTTTCGGATATATCGATAGTTAAAGTTTTGAGGTTATATCGGGTTGGCTAGACATCCGGTATTTGATTTTGACAATGTTTTTAGTCTAGGAGGCTTGTTAGGGTTAATTTTAAACCTATTACACTGTATTTAGAAGACGGAAATGCATTTTGAATTAATTACGATAAAAACAAATTTCACCAAAAATAGTGTAATATGTCAATTTGTTCTTGTATTATGAAGTAGATTTCCGATACTTGATTTTTTAATTATGTATTCAAATTAGGAGGATTGTCAGGGTTACCATTTACACTGTTTTTGGATTTCGGAAATGCCTTTTGAATTAATTACGATGAAAATAAATTTCACTTTAAATTACATATAACGAAACGAAAATATGTCAATTTGTTTTTTAACGCAGATACACTCATAAAAAAGTCAATCACTCGGACCCGGACAATCCATTTGTGGCTGGAGACAGGACTTATAAAAACAAATTGAGTTGCAGTGAAGAACAGTCAAGAGGTTTTACAGAAAACAAAATTATAACAATTCATATTACACCATTTCATTAACCACTCAGTAGCAGAGTTAAGAGCAACTAGACTTTATAGATAAAATTTATCGCATCGGTTCTAAAACCGAAATAGCTCACCCCGACTCCACGTAGTCGCTTCGTATTGTCATCTACTATGGGACTACTGTTCTTTATCCCATGCAGGTTTCGGGCCTCGGGGAGTTCCCCATTACCCGGGTAATCCTCACAGCCCATATCTATGGGCCGGTCTTGGGAGCCGTACATGTACGACATTGTCGGTAATCTTCATTGGCGTATTGCGCGCCACCAGGTAGGTGCTACCGTAGGGTCGGCCGTCTCAAAGCCCCGCGGAGTCCCGAGGTAAGGAGTCGACGCAGGGCCAATCTTGCCGACAGGAGTGCGCTCCAGACAGCAGCTGCTCCGGGCCTCCAGTGCTCCTTTCCTGGCTCTACATGATGACCTGGTATCCCTAGGCAGAAGCTGGCGTATCTCGCGCCTCTGGGAAGGGATCTGCCGAAGGGTCAGCAACCTCCAGGTCCCGCGGAGACGCATCTCGACGCGGAGCCGAAGTCACCAACAGGCGCGCGCTCCCAGCAGCGCGCCGGGCCTTCGGAGTTCGCTTCCCAGCGTGTAGGTTAAACGCAGCGTTAGGAACATCCCGGGTGGGGTCAAGGCGTCCTCAAGGCTCTACGCAAGCCGAGTTGGCCCCACAGCACGTGCACCCACTGTGAAGCGACGCGCTGTACTTCTCTCACCCGGGCGGGAGTCGACGACCGGCGGACGAGACTGCTTGCTAGCGCGGTCCGGACGAGACTCTATATATCTACGTAGTCTTGTCTACCCTACCCCTAGAGTGTGTTTGTAAAGCCGTAGACACGATAGGAGTGCAGCCCCTGCCTGCAGTAGCAAATCGCAGGCACTTAAGAGAGCCGTAGCGTGCGGAGGCGAGCATGGGTGCCTGTGATTTGATACACAAGGGCGAACGGGCTGCACTTCCGGCAGTGCTGAAGCCGTTGCAGAAGTGACTGCGTCAATATTCCTGTATAAAAAAGTGAGGTTAAGATGTTATATAAGATGTTATATGTTGCGATTCCGGCACTTCCCCCTTTAAGGGGGAGTTTCCTACCCCAGCCCCCCACTCGGCGACCATATATTCATGCGGCAGATTACTAAAAAAATTCTTAAAAAAAAGGGGGGGGGTTTACGACACTTAATTCTTTTTCTTTTAGGGGGAGGTTCCTACCCCTCCCCCCATCTACCCGCCCACTCGGCGACCATAAATTCGTTCGGCAGATTACTAAAGAAATACCATCTTTTCTCCTATGTACATGAAACCAGTGAAAATAAAATGTGAAACACCAACTTTTACATAGTCGAATATCGTTGATGTTAATCAATAATTACTGCCTCTTTATTTCATCGGCTGGAGCTGATTAATTCTCTATAATTTATAATAATTTCTTTTTTATTTATCATTATACAGGCAGATATATAAAAAAATGCTAACAGAAATATGTAAATATAGTTTATTGACATTGAAGGAATAGTCTTATATCTCTTATTATTAAAAATGTCCTTTTGATTCCTATGTAATATAGAAAAAATATCTTAATGATTAGAATTATTATTTAATTAAGACACATTTACAATATTCATTTACTTATTTTCTAAAATATTGACTACTGGAATTTGTTGGAACTCCTTCAACTTTACATGTTCACATCCTCAATCCCGTGGGTAAATCTTTGCGAGAGCACAGGGAGCAATTATTGCAAGACAATAAGCTTCGGTCCCATTTTACTTATATTAGGTCACAGTGAACACACTAAACATCTTATTCAGCTTCCATTAAAACATACTACAAGCCGCCAAAGACGATTAGTCAATTTTTAACATCCATCAAACGTTATATTCCTCTACAAGATACTACTAGTGTACAAGCTAGATTGTGAATGTGGTCTTTCTTACATAGTTAATTTGCCTTTTTCAATAAAATTTTATATTTATGACCAGGATAAATAAAATATGTTTTGATCTTTCAAAAGGTTTAATAATAGACCGTTTGTAATATTTTGGCGTGATCGTCTTAGTTAGGACTCAGTTCTTTTATTCGTCTTTTGGAAGAATGAATATTCACTACAGAAAGCTGTTGGCAGTGCCTTAAAAGCTAAGTGAACCCCGTTCACGAAGACAGGGCTCGAGAAAGGTTAAGAACATAAAACGTCCCTATTCCACTTGTATCAGGTTTACATTATTAATTTAATATTATTTATCCCTGCCCGCTTGGAAATGGTTAACAATATATTTATACAAAATACCCGATACAAGGGCTTCGTTCTCCTACATTTATTTAAAAAAAATGTAGGGGAGACACACGCCGTGCGCGGTGAGTGCCGACCATTTTGATGCACTCCCCCCGAAGGGAACGCTAATTCGGAACTGGACCGTAGTCCACAGCAATATAACTGGCGAACCTGTAAAATAGGCTTGGTTCCTTGTTAGTGAAACAACAACCAAAACATCGACCGAAGTCGCGCATGTCAATGCTTGTTAACGCCATAAAGAATACGGACGAATCTAGCCACGGTGAATGTACGCCACACGGTTTAGGCAAATAGACACACTGGCCGTAACCCTTCGTGAGCGCCACCATCTGCCAGACCGCCGCTCCCGCAGACGTGATGTAAGTGTATGGCTTCACCACCAATTGCATGATCAGCACGGCTACTAGCTGCAGAGTGTGTCATGAGTCTACCGCTCACCTCAAGGGAATGGGGTTCCACGTAGTGCGGCTTTCGGCCGCAGCCTTGAGAGTCTCTTCAAATTCTCCCGCCAGCTACCACCCGCATGAGGTCAACACATATGCTCCACCAACCATTACAACGGCAGATATAGGCAAAAGGCAGTTATAAGATGTTAGTAATAATTTGCCATCAGAAAGGTTTTGTGTCACTGACGTCGAGTAAATGCATTTTAGATCATGTTTGTCTCACCCACCAAAAAGTTGCCTTCAGTCATTCAAAGGTGGGAAAGTTACAGAGATATATTATTATGTTGTTATATAAAACATTGTGGAGGGCAGACAGTCTGCAGCCTCGTAATGAAAGGACCCGACTTGGGCAAAGCTACTTAGGTGTGAGTCAAACCAAGACACAGACAGCGCCACTGAGAATAGCGTTCCACTAAACAAACATCGCAGAGATGCAATGCTGCAGAACGCAACAAGCATCAATACGACTATCGTCGGGCTTACAGTCAAATCAAATCCCAAAGTCCTCCATAAATCTCAGCAGATATCACCACCCGTATACCTCCATCAACCAGAACCACAAGAATGCGTCGAATCAGGCGCAGCACACCCGCAGATCCATCACTAGACGCAATACCGCAAGAAGCAGTAAGCATC